AAAAAAAAAAAATCAGATTAGTGGAAACTTAATCTTCAAATCAGCCGCCATTACTCAATACTGTTCACTTAACTGGAGATTTTCAGATTTTACTTCTTGTTCGTTCATGGCTTCAGTTCAACTGGGACCCACTCGTACCGCCCTTCTACTGGCTCATCCTTCACTATATCGTAGTTATACCTGCACCAAACCATCAGAAGTTTTCAAATTAATTATTAATTTGGGGGAATAAAAGAATTAGCACATGTAGAGAGAGAGAGAGAGAAGAGATAGTTGAAATTACTTCTCGAGGAATTGTTTCTGGATTTTCTTCTCGGCGGCAGCGAAGAATTCTTCGAGTTCCGCTTCCGTCGGCATTTTCTCCGCCGTGGGGTTACGGCGGGAATCAGGCGCACTCGGCGGGCCCGCCGTCGACTCCAGCTCCCCCGACTCGGTCTGGACCTCGATCGACGGCGAATTCTCTCTCCTGAAGAAACAATACGACGGCGTGTTAGCTTCCCTCCGCCGCGAAGGATAAACACTACCGGCGGCACTCATGGAGGCGAACAGATGGAGAGAGAGAGAGAGAGAGAGAGAGAGAGAGAGAGAGAGAGAGAGAGAGAAAGAGAAACGTGGAGGGTATGAACTATGAAATGATGAGAAGCGATTCAGTTTTTTTTGGCAGATTTAATAAATTTTTTGAAATTGAAGAGCCGTGTCTTATAGGATCATTCATCGCACTTGGGTCTCCACATAATTGTATTATTATTATTATTATTTAATTATTATTATTATGCTATTATTATTTTGTACCTGTCTCTGAAATCCACCGAATGGCCAGCTGATGTCGCGAAATACTCCACAGCCACCGCATTTTCCTGGGGATTCCCAAACAAATAAATAAATAAATTCAAAAAATCTCATCGATCGAGCATTAATTCGAAGCTCCAAACACGATGTTCATTCCTCACATAATCTCCATTAATTTGAGGAATTAATTAAATAATTAGCTAATTAATATGTACCTTCAGATCTGCAAATCCCGGGCTCTCACTCGATCCGCCGCTCGAGCAGCAGGAGGCTGCAGAGCTATCGGAATCCGCCGAATTCTCCGGCGAGATCTCATTCTCCGGCGGCGACGCGGCTGAGCGGCGCGTTTTGAGCTGAACCGAGGACGTCGATATCTCCGATTCTCCAAACGCCGCCTCCCTCCTCCTCTTGGCCACCGCCGCCGCCGCCAGCTCACCTGATCCGTCGCGCTTTCTCGAGCACCTTCCCATGTTTGAGTACAATTTCTCCGATATACGAAATTAAGAAAGCCACAAAATCGATCACAACTGGTGATTGATTTCTGAATTCCGCACTCTTTTTCCTCTCATATTTTCCCCTCTTTTCACGTGTAATAATGAACGGTGGCTATGGTGGTGGTGGTGGTGACTCGGAGAGCTACCAGCTTTTTGTGCTGCGCTTTTTATCAGAGGGCAGAGATTTTATAGAGAACAAGAATTTCGCGTGCGTGTGTGTGTGTGAGAGAGAGAGAGAGAGAGAGAGAGAGAGAGAGAGAGAGAGAGAGAGAGAGAGTTGACAGTGAGTGTGATAGTGATGATTGAGTATTATGGAGAAGATGCCTGTGTAGTTTGGTGCGTGGAGAATGAATCCCGTTTGGTATGGGTTTTAGGGGTGTTAATTAATTAGGAAAATGTTACGGTTACAGAATCATTCCATCGAGATTTGTAACCGTTAGATCATTATTCATCGTCGGGATAATTGATCTAACAGTTACAAATCCCGACCAAATGGTTCCGTAACGAGATTGTAGCATTTCCTATTAATTAATCACAATTTGACGTTAACTGCAACGGAATTGTTCAAAGCGCCGTTAGAAGGAAATGGGCAGCGGCTTGAGCTGCAGTCGGAGTTGATAACGCGCCCGCAAACGACTGATTGCCGCATGACTTGGGTTGTCTTATTTAAATTGTTTGCTCTCTATTTCTTCCTTTTTTAGGCTTAATATAATATATTTTTCACTCTATTTCAAATAAATATATATTTGAAATATATTTAGAAAAATAAGTAGCTAATTTGTATAAATCAGTTAAATTATATTAATATATCAAATTAATTTGTATACAATATTGAGAGCCAATTTAATGTGATACGAGTTAGAAAAATTATTATAAATCAATACGAGCGAATCTTATGAGTGATGAATATAATATTAAATAGAAGTGTAATGCAATTTGGTTTTTAAAATAGTTAAAAAAAAAATCATTTTAAAACTTCTAATATTTATAAAAAAATTATGTATAAATTTATTAATTAACTCTTGCACACAACTAATATTATATTGCATATAACTTAGTACTAACATATACAATATACAAAAAACTAAACACTTTTGTCCTTTTCATATTCTTATCATTCAATGTAATTTTGAGAGTTTTTTTTTTTTTTTCCTCACTACACAATTTAAAATGATCTTAAAACTGAAATTCTAAAGTACAAAATGTTGACAACATTGAGATAACATATATGTATTCATATTAAATACTTATTAAAGTTGCAAGTCATAATTAATTTCCGATTCAATTATTTGACTATGAACGTATAAATCGTATAAATTAATAAAAAATTCTTAATTACTGTACAACTTCTCAAAACGACACATAATTTGTACTACAAAAGAATCAAAATGTCATTAATTTTAATTAATAATTGATAAAACCAATATAACATTTAAAAATAATCGGAGTATGATTGAGGCAAGTAAATGGATTACGATTTGGTGCAAACTTCTATAAGAAAACATCACAATCCATTCTCATGACTTGTTAATGAAGTCAAGACTCTGATTTAATTACTTCACTTTTCATTTAACACAAGTATTAAATAATGATTAATTATCTAATTAAAAGCAGAGCTTGCCTCACTTATAAGACCATTAATGGAGCATTTCTTGATTTATAGTACTACCTCTTATTCTTTTTAAAAGAAGAGCTTGATTTATAAATAAATTTCGTTTTGAATATTTTGTACATATTTTTTCATTATTACTTTTATCTAGTTAATAAATACACTACGTCTTTCCATATTCACTCTTCATCTTTCCTCAAAACATTCATCTATATCCTAATTAATGAGTGTTATTTTTGACAAAAAAATTATTTTCAATAACCGTGCAACTTCTCAAAACGACCATTATTATGAATAGGAAGAAGCAGTATTTTCTTTCCCAAATGATCACACGAATATAGTGTGTTAATAGGTTTTGTTTGGTAAAAAGCTGGTATTAAGCATTATATGTGCTACTCCCCATCTAATTATCTCTTAATTAGTAAGTATATGTTTATTGACCAATTGAGCATTTTTTTAATCTATTTTGTTATGCTACTAATGATTAGATATTCATAATATCTCGAATAAGTGTATACACTTGAGTTAAGCTAATAATAATTAGGTATTCATAACATTAATTTGAACAAGTGTGCATACTTCTATATTCAATTATCATGTTTCAAAATATAATATAAACAAATATATAACATTTTATAGTATAAATATTTCTTTTTCAATGATAAAATATGGCTGCAGTCGAAACAACATATGCATGTATATTAATGAATAAAAGTAATTAAAAAACTGATCATGCAACATGTAAACGAACCGGACCAGACTGAACCGCATTAATTGTTTCAATTTTTTTTTAGAAAAATAAAAATTCCACTTTTGGTTTTTTTTGTGCACGAACCAGTTCTAGTTCTCGGTTCCTTTCCAAATGTATGTGTATTAACCGAGGAACCGACTATATATGTGAAATATGCATGTTTTATATGTTTATTGTTTATATATATGAATTGGTTCCGGTTTTTGGTATGTAAATATTCGGTTCCTCCTTTTTGCATTTCTGTTCTCATTTTTTTATGATATTTTTGGTTCGTGAGTTGTAATTTTTTGACCAGTCCGTAACTGAAAATCGTATTGTCGATTATTTTTAATTACTCAGTTACCCAAAAAACCAAAAAAAGGGAACCGTTATAACGCAGTTCGGTTACTTTTCGGTTTCTACAAAAAAATTATGTATTAACCAGTGTTTTAAATAGCGTAATTCCGCGCGCTACGTAGCGCGCTATAGCGCATTTTTACCCGAAAACGCGACATAGCGTATATAATTTTGCGCAGTTCCAGAAAAGCGCACGCAATTTGCGCTATATTTTGCGCTATTTACACATTTTACGCTTTATTTTGCGCTATTTACGCTATTTGCGCTATTTCTCTCGCTATTTGGGAAATCCTCATTTATAGGCAAAAAATAAAAAATAAAATAATAAAATACAAAAAAAAAACTTAGGGCACAAAATTGTGTAACTTCTCCGATGGCGAATTCGAGTGATTATTAGACTATGTTTTGTATTTCTCTTGAAAAAAAAAATATTTGAAAAATTGAATCAACATAGCTATAATTGACCTTTTCGACTGTTATAATAATGTGATGTTTATGTTTATTAAGCTCAAAAGTGAAATGGGAAGAACACTTCATTTTTTCTCCAAATGATGAGGAGATGCAAGAATTTGGTGGTATTATATTAATTATAATTTGTAGTGAAATTTTCCATAAGTTTGATAGAATTGACGATGATAGCCAAATTCAATTGGATAACACTGATCATATTAAGATTTTAAGTCTTTACTTTAAACATTAAGACTTTGGTTGTTTGAATAATTAATATTTGAATGTCATTTTTTAAATTCAATGTCCAAGTTAATTAATTTATGGTTTAAGATCATTTTAATTATTTATTCGCTTCTATGGTTATATATTATTATTTTTGGCACTAAAAGTGAACTGCTCGAATAGCTTACGCAATGTGTTACGCTATTTACGCTACGCAATATAAGGACCAAAACGAGACGCATTGCGCGATGCGCGTTTTAAAACACTGGTATTAACCGAACCGGTTTTTTGGTTTATGTTTCGATTCTGATTCCGGTTCCTGAAAAAAAATGTTTAGAACCGGACCGATCTCAGGCCTACATAGGAGTAGAGTGCTTTTGCTATTTTCGAGGTGTTTTGCATACTTCTCTTTTAAATCTCAACATGCTATAGTTTCTTTCAATTAGAAAATTTTCAACAATAAAGTCTATATATATTATCAATTCACTTTTTTCACTTTAAACTATAAGTCATACCATAATTTATTAATTCATTTTTTTTTAAAAAAAAAACTCACACCCAACTACAATAGTCATACAATCATATCATAAATATCTTAAATCATTAGATTCCATTTTTTTTTTCAAATATTTTTTTTTCCCTAACATTTCTCTTCAAGGATAGAAAGGTGCAAACTAAAAAGCATAACCAATCACACTATCATTTCTCAATGATGCTTTTTGTGAGGTATAATATAATGGAGAAAATGATAAAAGAGCTAAAGTAAGAAAGCAAAAATAAAGCCAAACTTTTGGTCCCTTTCCTTGTTTTCTTTCACATTTCCCTTTGTAGGTTTTTATAATGGAAAACAAAGATATAAAATAAATAAATAAATAAATAAATAATAAAAGATGCAATCAGCCTGAGCCATACATGTATATATTGTGGATTTTATTTCTGTGGCAGCTTTTTATTATATGGATTATTGCCACAAATTCTAAAAAATTCTGATATTATTTTCTAGAGCACTCGGTTGTGGGCAGGGGCGGACACAGATTTATAGGACAACGGGGGCACAATCTACAGACAACTGTGAATCTCGACTCAATAGTCAACACCGGAAATTGATTCTATCTCTATATGGTATATAGATTTATGTATTTTGTGAGGTGAAAGGAAATAGACAAAAAATTAAATACATCATAAGCGTAAATTCTACAACATGAAAAATAACATACTATATAATTCTAAACATTTATTTTTTTATATATATTAAGATAACTTTACATTATAATTAATAACATGTAATTTATGTCAAAATAATAATACATATATACATATAACATATATATACTATATTATTGAAAAATATTCTACAGGGGCCCGTGCCCCTACGGGCCCTTGTCTAAATCCGCCACTGGTCGTGGGTGTCTCTCTGTATTTGAGTCAGTTGGCTCACGAGTTGTATTCGCGTACATTTGTGTTATAATATTATCTATCGTTTCGGAAAAATAATAATATTATATATATATTTTCTTGTTCTACCTATTTTTCTTCTTCTTCTTCTTCTTCTTCTTCTTCTTCTTCTTCTTCTTCTTTTTTTTTTTTTTTTTTTTTTTTTTTTTTT